AAAAGACAAGAGCATGAGATGAATGGGACTGTGGTTGTTGCAAGGTCAGCATTGACTAACGTCCAATTGTCTGTTCCTGGGAGCACTTCAGAATCTCACACCTTAGGAACAGGCTAAAAGTAGTCTTGTCACATCCTTCTGACTATATAACCCTCAAAAGCAGCTCTACACCATCCACAGAGCACTCCAGATGAGAGATGCATCTGTGTCAACATGTCGTCAATGACACAGTGTACTTGAGGGCCTCAGAGCAGGTTGGAATACTGAACCCTCAGCACTCACTTGCATTGGATAAAACATCTTGACCTCTATGACATGGGTCAATGGTACAGCACAATTCAGGAAGCTACTCATTAATATAGAATCAATGAATTCAAGAATAAGGGTGGCTAAGGACTCATCTAATGGTCCAGAGGAAGGAACAAAGAGCTTAGATTCAGGAAGTCAGTGTATTTGACTTGTCATTTGTAGAAAAAGGCAACAATAATTCTCTACTCCTCTATACTCCTAGTGGCTGCTTGGTATATATATATATATATATATATATATATATATATATATATATATACACACACACACACACATATACATATACATTTATTTACACTATTATATATACTGTGTGTATATCAAAATTATATATACTGTTGTGTGACACACACACACATATATATATATTTGGCACATAATAGTATCACTTTATATGAAGATTAAATATTTGGTTTATTTATTTATTTCTCAATTCAACAAACATAAATACAGTATAGGCATCAAAATCAAAAGCCGTATTTTCACAAGCAAGCCCGTTATCAGAATTTGTAGTAAGAAAGAAATTATACTATTTGCCTCTCCAAGTGACTACACCTGAGAAAAGTCGCTGAAATGTTACATAGTCATTCTAAATACTACTCTGCTATTCAATTTTCATTTCAAATCTAGTGCTGACATGCCACCCATCATCCCTAAACACTGATGAAGCCCCTATGATACCACAGCATACTTGTCACCCATAGAGCAAGCCATGAGACTTTTCTTTGCCATCTGAGAGCATTAAATCTGACAATGACTGAGTGTGGATTTTAGTCCTGGGGAGTTTCTACAAATCTAAACTTGAATAATATCTGGATGACTCATGGAAAAGTAGACTATACATTTTTAAGAGTAATGATTCCCACTGTGGCTTCTTTCCTTGACAGTGAACAAGAAGAAGAGAGAAGGGAGCAAGTTCCCAAGAAAAGAATCCTGTTTAGTGAATACAGATAGGATGAGGAGAATAAAAATCCATTGTTTAGAATGTATAAATTGCTGCAGACAAGGTCCACAAATTGGTGATAAAATTAGAGAGTGGAAGTTTGAGGTAAAATCTAATTTTATAATCTCAGTCTCAAATAGCAAGTTGGAGTAGTCGGAGATGCTGAGGTCTTTCATGCAAATTGAAATAATTTCAAAATTTAAAAAATTTTAATTATAGACAAAATTTGCAAGTTAGATTTTCTTATTCAAATGCACTTTTTTGGGTTTCTAGATTCTGCTCTTAAATATATGTTCTGTCTGTGTGAATATCCATGTTAGCCATAAATAGCTTTAACTTCATACAAATGCATTCATTTTTGCTCACCAGTCCTTCCCAATCACCTTCTAGAGCTAGTAGTTGACTATAAGCATTCAAAAAGTCTGTTTTGATTATTTGATTATTTGATTATTTGAGCAGATGTGTGCTAGCAGTCCATGGTCTATAGTCATCCTTGAGAAGGTATGTACGCTGGAGAGATAACTAGTATACCAATGAAAGAATGAAACAGCACCATGTAGAATCATGTGATGTCATGCATTATTGTTAGTACATTACTTACAAGAAACAACAGAGAAACCTGAAGCATGACTAAATAAGAGCACCTAAGAAAAACATGGAGCTTGGATGGCTAGTGATACAGTGAGAAGCTACATGTCACCAAGGGAGCTGGAGAGACACCAGAAGTATACCTGAAATGCAGAGTTGAGTTGGATATGAAGAGTGGGCATATGTATATTTGTGTCAAATCACAGATAACTGTGAAAGTAAGGGTTAGAGATCACAACTTTAGTTCAAGTAGAAACACGACACTATTTTAAAGACCTTGTGAGGGTAAATATGTTTTCTGGCACCAATAGAAACAGATATGGAGAGTCTTGAGCCAGCACCAGATCCATTATTAAGCATCTGACAATGAACCTTGAAATACCTTTTCTGAAATGAAAATTGGTTTGTCTTTTTTTTTGTTGTTGTTGTTGTTATCTAATCCAAACTCTTCAGATCTAAACTATCCAGGAGCTCTCCTTTTTCTCAAAGGATAAAGGCCACAGTGACTAGTAGGGCTAATCCTTCACATTAGAGCAGCCTTTCCCACTGCCCTCTACAGTTCCATCTAGACTTTTTGTTTCCTTCAGTGTCCTCTTCTCTTGTGGAGATTTACTATGCATTTTCTTCTGACAGAAAACATCTCTCCTTATTTTTGTTAGTTTATTCAATGATGTCTTCTGCTACCTATGCTGTAACCCAGCCCCCCATTATCACTTCTAGTGAAGAAGCCTTTCTCACCCTCTGCTTTCCACTTCACAACTTCCTGGCTCCAGAACTCACAACTTCTGGTTATTCAAGCAATTTAGCTTTCTCTAGGTGATTCCCTGGCTCTGCTTTCTCAGTACCGGGATTACCGGAATATTTTACCATCAGCCAGCTCCCCAGCCCTGCTCACCTCTGTGAATTGATTTCCTCACTGCTCAGCTTGTAAAACTTTCCATACTTGTATATTTACAAGGGAGGCTGTTTGACTTAATTATGCAGTTATATGATTATGCCTAATTACACTGTAGATTTCTGAGAACAGAGACTATATTTGAATTTCCCATCATATGTTCCATCTCTAGTATGAACCTGTACAATTTTATTGTCAACGTTAGTTAAGCAAATAAATAAATAAATAAATGATACACCAAAAGCACAGTATTTTCATTACCTAATCTATCCTATCCCAATAATATAACCTTTTGGATAAGTAGGAAAATGTCCTTTGTTCACATGGCCCTGATTTATAACTTTTGCAATATTGGCTCTAACTGTATTATTTAGTTTATTTAAAAAAATTTACTGATTTACTAACAAATCAATACATTTGTCCTTCTGAATTTTGTTACAAACTGGCATGGTGGTTGGACCATAGTTGAGCTCTAACTACAATGTGAGGTGATAAGATTGGACTCAAAAAATTAAGAAAGTGATTACATGGAACAGAATTGCTAGAGTTTAAATGGCACATGTTGATTAATATATTAATATGCAATACAGTGCACTTTATTTAGTACTGCCTATTATTCAAATCAGAATGCAGGTTTGTTTGTTCTTTTAAGACTGACTTGTACTCTAACTGAAGATTTAAATGTACCTATAACTACCCATATTCATTATATGGTAGAAAAGAGTGAAAGTGAATGGGAGAGGGCAGATAAATTTTTAACTGAAGGAATCTGGCAAGACTACAAGGAAAATATTTGAGCCAAGAAGGAAAAATGTACTTTTGATTGTTAGATTTAGGCAAGGCAAAAATTATAGGAAGAAACAAAGTAATAAGTAAAATTACAAAGTACAAAAAGGAAAGAGCACTGTGGTAGGGAGGAAGTGGGCCCATGCTGACTAGAGAAAAACATGGGTGGGTGGTAAGGACGTGTGCTAAGGGTAGTTTAGGAAAGTTGGATTGCAGGATGTGGTAGCTTGAATGTAATTGACACCCTTAATCTCTTAGGGAGTGGCACTATTAGGAGGTGTGGCTTTGGTGGAGCGGGTTTAGCCTTGTTGGAGGAAGTGTGTCACTTTGAGGGCAGGCTGTGAGGTTTCCTATGCTTAGGATACCACCTAATGAGTCAGTAGCCTTCCTGATGCCTGTAAGATGTAGCACTCTCAGCTCCAGCACCACATCTGCCTGCATACTGCCATGCTTCCCATCATGATAATGGACTGAATCTCTGAAACTGTAAGCAAGACACCCCAATTAAATGTTTTCTTTGTAAGAGTTGCTGTGGTCATGGCGTCTCTTCACAACAACAAAAACCCTAAGACACACTAATAACGTGCTTTCCAGTTTGTATTTATCTGGCAAATATGCAGTATTACTAAAGATACAGACAAAGAAGCACCGAAATCAAGTGTGTGGGTTCTAGTGGTAATGGGAAGATAGGCTGGCAGAGTGACAAGATAAGTGGGGCAACCAGAAAACTCTAAAAGACCCTCAGAAATTCAGGAGGACCTGGCCAGGTTACTGGCAATAGAGCAAGGAGCAGAAAATACACAGTCGAACAAATATTTTTATGGGGACCGAAAAGAAAACCCTAAGAAGTCTTGATGTTATAACAACTGCAGTGTAACCAGCAAACATTTGTCTAAGAAAATAATGTTTAGGATGACACTATGATACTCAGATTCAGGGACAGTGATTCCTTCATGAAATTGCATGTGTAAAGGTTCCTAGGCAAGAAATAAGTTGGCAATTTTTTTTGGGGGGGGGTGAGAATAAAAAAAAAACAGTTTCAGTTAGCAGTAGGTGGAAAAGGTTTTAGATGAGATTAGAAAATGCAAGGGAATCAGATCACAAACTTTCAAAGCACAGAAAGGTTTGGTGTCAACTTTAGGAGAAAAAGACAATTGTATAAGCAGGAATAGTGATATACTGTTACTATTAAGAAATATTGATATGTTTCCGACATGAAACATAGATTAAAATGTGAAAAAACATTTTGTAACTCACTAAATCCAGGGTTTTTTTTTTTTTTTTTTTAGAATAACAAAAAATACTTTACTAAAACATAAGATTTACAGAAGTTTCCAGACAAGCCATACAAAATGGTCACAAGCTTTTGTTTCTTCTTGGGGGTTGGGGCAGAGAATCTACACTGGACAGCAAAGTCACAATGTTATTAGTGAGGGCTGTGATGTTTATTTAATGTTCCCATTTGTTTCAGACAATCAAGCTTGTCCATCTACAGTGTCTAAAGTTAGACTTGGCTAGAGAGCATATTCTAAAAAACTGGTTAGCTGCATTTAACCACTGCAATTAGATCCCATAAGAGGGGGAGGGGGAAAGGAGACCATAAAATTAAAATAAAACTACTTTCCCCCAAAAAATAAAATAAAAACACCCCTACCCCTGGCAGCTAACCCTGACAACTACCTTCATTCACAGTGCTTTGTACTTAAACCATGATGGGGAAACGAATCCAAGCAGAGTCACTGCTTTCAACATTTCATAACAACCCAGATGATACTTCTAGCCTCTGCTCATGCTTTACAACAGTGAATCAGGACAAGACAGAGATTTGCTAATGTGCATGCAATCACCAAAGAGGAGGATGCCTGGGCTTTTATTCTGTAATGTTTCTAAGACTGTGTCCATCAAATGCAAACAAAAAAAGGAAGAGTCTTGGCAGAACAGGAGAAGTGATGTACACTCGATGATCTGATCGACTTAAATATTATTCATGGCATATAGCCTAGTCCATGATCTCGCTGTTTCTATGGCTTGGGCTTCATTGGTCTTCCACTGCTCAGCTACATCATTTGCTAATGGATCATCTGGATTAGAAGCACTTAACAAAGCCTGGATTGATAGCAGAACTGTGCGGATCTGCAGTGGTGGGGACCACTTATCTTTCAAAATATCTAAACATATTCTTCCCAACTTGTCTACATTAGGATGATAAATTTTGGTCATGAAATGTACTTCAGGTGCTGCCATTGGGTATTCCTCTGGAAGGAATAGTTCAAGTTTAAAAGTCCCTCCCTCAAAGGGGGAATCCTGGGGGCCAGCAATGACCACATGGAAATAACGGGCGTTGCTCTCATCTGGTTCTGCTTTAATGCCAGGAACTGGTTCAGCCAGCAAACGCTGGGTTTCCTTGATGATCCTGCGGGGCAGCCCAGCCATCTTGTCAGATCCCGAGTTTGGCCTCTGACTAAATCCAGGTTTTAATTAAAGTCTTTGGGACTCTAAAGTCAAGGTGTTTGATATGTAACCCTGTAACATTGTCTCTCATATTGTAGATCCACAGCCAGGAGCTATTTGATGCCTTACCAGACACTGGTACTCCATAGACCAAGACCATCCCTTCTTGTCCTGTCTCACTGACTCCCGCTTCCTCTTTTGTTAGACCATATCACAGTCACAGAGTCCAAGATTTTCATAAAAAAATGGAAAATGATATGGGAATTAATGGCAATTTTTGTTTCTCTTCTTTCTTGAACATAACTTTACATTACTGCTACATTGGCTCACACTACATAACTGAATTAGTTTGCACTGTATCACCATGTATGAAGTGTCTATAAAAGGATATTTGTCCATAATGCAAGTGCATGAGAGATTCCCCCCAGAGATTTTGATCTCACTTTGTCTGAGATAGGGTGTGAATGAACATATAGTATGTTCCTGAAGCAGGTGATACAATGACTATACTTTATGAGACACCGGTTTGTGGTGAAAACTTTTAGATTCTACCCCAATCTTGGTATGATATCTTGGACATATCTATTCTCTTAAGATTAGCAGCATTTGAAACCATCTATTGTGAGTAACCCTAGAGTTTAATAGCCTGTATATTCTTGGTACACTTCTCTTTCCAGTGCAATATAACACAGCACACAGATAATCAATTTGGTATCTTTCTTTAGAAAAGAGACAAAAAATTTATATAAACAATTTTCTTACTGGTCAGTTCCAATGTGAGCTAAGTATTTCATCCAGATTAATGGTAAAAGTATTTTTATCCAGCTGGGTAGAATATAATATTACCTTTTCAATATTAATACAGGGCTACATATAAGACTCAAATAATTATTGCCCAATAACTCTCTTGGAGATGATTTTATAATACAGGAAACACTTATAAAGAAGTAAATAATAAATGAAAGTTAATCAAACTTCTTTGCTACTAAACTCATACAAAATAACTTCTAGTCTATGCAAGTGGTTATCCAAAAGGCAATAACAATAGCCAGTAAGATAAGTCACACTTATAAATCATTTTAAAAATCAACACACTAATTATGTTTTGGAATAATATTCTGAAGAACATTTTTCAGTGTAGAAGCTGTCCCCCAACTGGCTTCTTGTAATGTGCCTCTGTAAAGGTGGCTCATGTCACAAATGACTTTCCTGTCATATGAAGGCACTTTTATGGTGGCATCAACTTTCCTGTTATATGAAGGCACTTTCATGGGGACATCATGCATAATCTGGCCCTTCCTCAAGCGACACTTTGAAAACATTTTGGACTTTAATCTTTTACATCTGTCTTAATTAATTGGCATCTCTTGTTTTATAAAACTAGGCTTATTATGTCCCTTGAATGAGCCAAGTGAAGAATCAAGACATATATTTCTCTGTTCAGAACCAATTCTGATATTGAGTCAGTTCTTGTTGGCCTCTTGAGAGATGCAGTTTTATCCTCAACTCCTGAGAGTCTCAGCTACAATGAGTGTGCAATGACCTAAAGATACCTCAGGAACGCTTTCTAGAGGCAGGGATTTTTTTTTATCAACTTTGTTGAAGAGTTTAGGGATTATTGAATTATTTCATGAAGTAAGTATTCAGTAAGCATCTAGTTGGTGTGAAGCACTATTCTAGGTTAAAGAATAACACAGTAAAAAGAAAAAAAAATCAACTCATGATCTTAATTTGTAAGGAGTGAGGTATAAAATGTATAGAAAAGCAAATACATCAGATAAATAAATTCAACACAGAAAAATTAGAGGAGTAAGGGAATGGGGATGTTAAAAGTGTCAGAAATGACATTCCAAAAGATGACAGCATGCCAATAGACATGTGCATGAAGTAATGATTCTGAGTCATCTGAGAAGCACCAAGTAAAAATTGCCAAAAATACATTTGTATTCCATTGAAAGGTGATTCCAGGATGGCAGTGGTGGCTTATCTTTCTAGTATAATGTGCAGAAGTGATGCTCTTGAATAAGAAAAGATCAGAAAAAGTCATGCAGCTTCTGCCCAGATAGCTTGAACCCTACCTGTCGCCATGTAAGAATCATGTCTACTCCAGGAACCATGTTTCTAGGGAACTCAAGAAAATAATTCGGAGAGCAGTATGTGTGTAGAAATAGAGACTGTTTACACAATGCTACGTGTTCCATTCATTCTACTGTAGCTGACAAACCTATGTGAGGAAGCCATCTTAGACAATCCATCTATATCAGGTACCACCGGGAGAAACAAAAACAGCAGATCAGTCTCTCATAGAGCTGACTCAGCTACATCTGTTCAGTCAAACGATCCAACCTGAGCGAGGGTCATGGGGGGGTATTGATGACTTCTCACTGTGTCTTCACAGGTTCTTGAACCCCAAAGTTGTAAGCATAATCAATTTTGCTGCTAATTTATACTGTGAGTGATTTGTTATTTGCAGCTGGCTGTTGAGAGAAGGTGCACTTATTGCTGATATATATCCTAACAGTCGATTCTAGCTGCTCAGTCTGATCTGGACTTCTGGGGAACACAAGTGCAACCAGGAAAGTCCAACTAATATTCAAAGCAAGAGGTAACAATGGCCTGGATGGAAAGAGTGACACAGAAGAAGGGAGAAATAGAATTTGGGATTTATTTTGAAGAGAAGTTGGTAGTATTTTCTCAAAATAATAAATAATACCCTTATTTTAATTTTGCAAATATGCTATATCATGTACTACAGTTATCCAGAAATGTCTGCACCATGTAAACAACCTACAAAAAATGAAAGCATATTGAATCTTTATTTGATCCGGAATCTGATTTCCTGCTTGGTAAGTTGTTATAAATAGGAAAAACATTACATAAATTTGTACTGACTCATATAGCATGCTTCGAAGTTTTAATGTGCCTTCTGTCTTTTCACAAAACTCATTTGCTGATATTTAACTTTTTAACAAATATTTATGAAGAATCTTTTGCATGTTGCTAGATACTATACAACTTTGAGAAAAAGCAGACATAATCCCTTTTGAGAGAATGTAGACTTCTGTTTTGATAGTAGATATGCCAAGAAAATTTACACAACTAACCATGAGAAATATAACCATAACCACCTTTGACTCAGAAAAGTTGAAAGAGGTCATCCTTAAGAAACTGAAGAATGAGCCGAGGACTGAGACAGACTGGTGACTATTGTAAATGGAAATGTTCAAGTACTGTGGGCAGATAGAAAATCAAGTACGAATTCTCCGTAGTGTCTGGAGCAGGACATACTAAGTGCAACTCAAGGTCAACCTCTCCCACTAGGCAATCTGTTCTTTCTCCCAAATGAAGCAAGAATAATCCTCTTGAGGTCTAAATCTTATATCTGCCTCCTGTTTCTAAAAATCACAGGGTGGCTGCTCCTCTGCAAGTACAGCACAGATGGTGATTCCATCACTGTTTCCAGAGGCATTAGAGGAGGATTAGGTTTGGGGACCAGAAAAAAACTAAGTTTTTAGCTAGTTTTGGTTCATTGTGCTTTCAAGATGTCTATGTAGATGTCAAGAAATTAGTTGCATACATTCAGAACCAAGTCTGTCTAGGAGTAAACAGGTGATTCTTCTTTAGTAGATACATCAAAGTTGTAGCATGACTGACAGCACCCATGGAGAGATGATTAAAGAAAAGAGAGGGGCCAAGGAAATCCATTTACAGAAGAAACCAAGAAAGTTTATCCACAGAGGCCGAAGAAAACCTGGGGAATATGGTGTCATAAACACCAAAAGAAGAAGTAATACAAGCAAAATGGTGGAAGAGGAACTATATATTGTTATCTGTCAACTCCCAGTAGCATCATGTTAACTACTCGGGTGAGTTTTGGAATGCAGCAAAAGCTATTTTAAAAGGGAAATTTACTGTGATAAATACTGACTCTAAAGAAAAGAAGAACGATCTCAAATTGATAACTAGCCTTAAATCTCACAGAGAAAGCAGAACAAGAAGAAGGAAATAAATAATAAAATCACAATGGCTCTGCTATACTCATAGCTTGGTGCCTTGTCCAGTCATCATCAGAGAGGCTTCCTCTGGTAGCAGATGGGAGTAGGTGCAGAGACCCACAGTCAGACATTATGTGGGGAGTCTAAATTGGAGAGGTCTCCATCGGGTCCTTTCCCTTGGAGATTGGAGAACCCTGTGGAAGAGTGAGTGGAAAGATCGTAGGAGTCAGAGGGAATGGAGGACACCAGGAGAACATGGCCCACTGAATCAACTAAGTGGAGATCCCTGAGACTGAACAGCAAGCATGGGGCCTACATGGGTCTGTACCAGGTCCTCTGCAGATATGTTATGGATGTTAGTCTGGCATTTTTGTGGGACTGCTAACAGTACCGGAACATGTGTCTCTGACTCTTTTGCCTGCTCTTGGGACTTTTTCCTCCTATTGGGTTGCCTTGTCCCGTGGCAATATGAGGGCTTTTGCCTTGTCTTGCTGTATCTTAATTTGTTGTGTTTGGTCCTTGTCTCTTAGAGGCCTGCTCCTTTCCTGAAGGGAAATGGGAATGGGGTGGATCTGGGGGAGAAGGGAAGTGGGAGAAAGAGGGCAGAATGGAGGGAGGGATAACTGTGGTCAGGATATATTGTATGAAAAAAGAATCTATTAAAAAAAACCCACAAGAACAACAACAACAATAACAGCCAAAAACAGTAGGAAGGATGTATCAAAATTTCTAGAAGTTCTCCTTAACTCCAAGGCATTTCATTCAATATAAAGAAAACTAGAGATATTATTTTTAAAGTCATATTCAAAATAAAATGTTGAAAACTATAGTCTTAAGAAAAAGAAATCACATCCAATACAGAGGAAATGGAGCCTAGAAACAAAGTAAGATATCAACATGAGTGAGCTCAGTCTTTTTTATTTTTTTTAATTTAAAAAATTCATAAAATATAACTATTTCCCTTTCCCTGATTACTCCCAGATCCTCCACAGTTCCCTACTCACCCTACTTATATGATCTTCCAAATAG